AGACGAAGTCTCTGAGGCGTTTGTAGAGCAGACGCTCATACAGTTTGCCTAGAGACATGAGGAGGCTAATCGGGCGGTAGCTCGTCGGATGATTTTTTGGTTTACCGGGTTTATGTATGCCGATAACGTCCGCTTCTTTCCACACCGCGTGAAAGATACAGTTCGCCATAGCGGCATTGAAAATAGATGCCAACATCACGATGAGTTGGACGGGTAGAAGTTTAATAACGCGGTTGGATATACCGTCGGAACCGGGAGCCAGTTTCCATTGTCTGATGGGGAAATCGGAGGCGGTGCGTGATGGTCTACAATCCGTACGGTGGATCCCCAGTTTCCAAGGGGTTTGAAGAATCCGCTTTGAATTTCCCCGTTTATCTTAGTGTAGCACTGATTGCACTATTGTACTGGTGGTAGGACCTCTTGTGAGTCCGCGTGGGTAGGTACCACCGCCCTGCCTATTTCTGCCGTGAAGCAGTAATGCGTTTCGGTTTGAAGGCCGGGGCAGTCGTTGTAACTATACTTGAGACCTTAGAACTTATATCTCTAGGTGGGTGGCGAATTTACGTTGTAGATGTCTATGGGATCCAGTAACAACTTAAGATCAGGTGGGCCGTGAGCTCGTCCACCCATCTAGGCAATAAAAAAAATGAGAACAAATTTAATAATCACGAATACGGATCACTTATAATTGCGGTGCGAACTCTCTGGTGTCAAAATTACTTTCCTCCTTCGTGAATTCGTTTTTGTATTTATTTATTTATTTAATACAAGGAGAACCAACAGCCAACTAACATAGTATAATAATATAACAAATAATAGAAACAAAAAGAAACGTCCTCACCAATACAAATCAAAAACATAGAAACAAAAAAATTCAAAACAATCAGCAAGCAAGAAACAACATAAGGAGAGGAGAAAAAACACCAGATTTAAATGTACACTTATATATAAATGTAGGTATGGGTCTAAATGAAATCACTATTTCTTGGGTTTAGAGCACATTAAACACATCTTACTCATAATGGCGGCGTCGTGAGAGGGAGAGATAGAGCTACATCCGTCCCTTTCACACAGCATGCGTTCAGAATCCTTTCACTCGTTCAGAAATGTTTTACAATAATTAGAAATGTTAGTAATAATTAAATCCTACATAAATGTCACAAATTAATAAAAATCAGATGTGTTAGATATCACCGGCACATGTTTGTATCGGAACAGCCTACTTCCTTCCTGTAGCGGAGATACGCACTGCCGGTCTTCTAGATCTTTCGTATGAGACGAGATAGAAATATGGAAAGAACGGCTCAACCGAAGCAAGTCACGCCCCAAACTATCGTCCATATTCTAGAAAACACCTGTGATACTGAGATAGCAATAGTCGAATCGAGTGAAATGAAATCAATCTCAAGCAGTCAGTGATGCCAACTCCGGGGTTTTCCCCCAAATTTAGGGGGAAAAAATCTATACAGGGATTTTTTTAGGGGATGAAATTTTTTGGGGATATTTTTAGGGATAAAATATTATTTGTATTTTAAAAAAAATTTCTACGTACATCAATAAAAATAACAAATTTCATAATGTGATGAAATTAAAGAAAAATACTTAAAAATACTAAATAACTATTGTTAATAACTAATTATTTATTATTTTTATTTATTTCTTTACTTATATTGTAATGAATAAATACTTGGTCCGTCGTTGGGGAGTTTTGTTTTGAATTTAGTGGTTTTTGAAATAGCTTTAGGGGGAAAGTTTTCAAACAGTTGGCGACACTGCAAGCAGTTGACCCGTTGTTCGCTATTGTATTTTGTTTTCGAAATTTCTAGGCACCTATCTAGGCTATATCAACGTCGCCTTAACTAGTAGGTGAGCTCACGGGGCTCAAACCTGACGACGTTGCTAACACGAACCCTAGCAAGAGCCGTGCTTCGCAGAATCTACCACCGGATCGGAAACGCGACCCACTGAGAAGATCCGGCGAGAAACTCAGTGGGCTGTGTCTGAGAGTTAATTTACTCATCGAGCCCTTCGTCGCAAGCGACGGGTTCGACGAGAACGGTGACCGGTGCTTGAAGTACCTAAAAGCACCGTCAGTGGATCGGGAGGATCCGAGATGACGTGTTTTGGGCGACATCGACTGCTTTCCATTCTTTCCGCAGGATCGGGAATGTAGTTACCGGCGGCCACGATGAGAGGGTTCTCGTGTCGTGCCGCTTTATCGAAGTGGAGAACCGAAGCAAGTCACGCCCCAAACTATTGTCCATATTCCAGAAAACACCTGCGGTACTGAGATAGCAATAGACGAATCGAGTGAAATTAAATCATTCTCAAGCAGGGACTCATTGTTCGCTATTGTATTTTGTTTTCGAAAGGACAATGCCCATTTGTGCCCCAGAAACGCCCAGTTAGAGTATACAATATTGCTCTAATAAATAAAAACTAGAATTATGTTGTATAGCAAGCCGACCGGTACGTCACTCTCGCGGCCGTATGCCCGCTCGGTATACATAGTTAGTATCTATGTCCATCTTTTTAACAGTGTATAATCTATGTTCCGGGCGCTTCCGTTTTGACCATAGATTATACACTTTTTTTTTTTATAAGAGATTTTATGACCTGGTAACTGAGACCTTTAAGTCATGTCTTATTTTAATGTATATTCTTAATTTTATGAAAAATGATATTATGGAGTGAAATGAAATGAAAATGATTAATTTGAGACATTAATCAACTGGGATGAAATTTAATGAAATGAGATGATGAAATATAATCGCAGTAAAATGGTGGTCATTTACTGAGATTTTTTCAGTGGACTTTTTGGAGGAACCCGAGAAGTTACGTCCAGCAGCTTTGTTTCATTTTCCCACATTTGTGCACTTTCACAGATATTAAACGGTTAATAAACCACCATTATTACACATTTAAACCCGAAGAAACACTAAATAGACAAAATAAAACAAATCACACAACTTCACTCCTCGCGTTCCCGCCAAAAAGTCGATTATACACTAATTTTTTTTTTTTTAAGAGATTTTATGACCTGGTAACTAAGACCTTTAAGTCATGTCTTATTTTACTTTATATTCTTAATTTTATGAAAAATGATAATATGGAGTGAAATGAAATGAAGATGATTAATTTGAGACATTAATCAACTGGGATGAAATTTAATGAAATTAAATGATATGGGATGAAATATAATCGCAGTAAAATGGTGGTNTTTTTTTTTTCACGATTAAAACCGCGTAGAAAGTTTAGGCATTATAGTTGACGCATGCGCAGTACACATATTTTGCATACATTTATTCAACTAATAAAAATACTAAATTAAACAAAAAACGAGTAATTTCGAAAGAGAACAAACATGTTTTATATAAGAACAATCGAAAATGAATATTTACGAGTCATTAAGGATGAAAAAATATTAAAAATTGCATTAGAGGGGCTAACTTTGTAGGTATATTTTTAAATATTTTTTTTAATAAATAAATGCAGAACAAACAATTATTAACAGTGAACAATCATGAACAAATGATGAACAAACGAATTAATAGAAAATAAGTATAAAATAGGAAAAAAATTTTTTTATGAGGGGCTAACTTCATTGACCTCTCTCGCGGCCGTATGCCCGCTCGGTATACATAGTTAGTATCTATGTCCATCTTTTTAACAGTGTATAATCTATGTTCCGGGCGCTTCCGTTTTGACCATAGATTATACACTTAATATAGTTTTGACCATAGATTATACACTTAATATGTTTTGACTTTGAGTGTGAATAGCGTGCGCCCGCGTCTGAATGTAATTATCGTTTAAAATTGAAAATTGTTTGTGTTAAAGAAAGATTAGAATTCGAAATTCGATACTGGTGACTGACCCATAGTTTTAAATACTCCTGAGATCTACCCCTCACTATAGTTGTTAATTTTAAATCATATGAAGCACGGATAAAAAATTTAAAAAAATAAGACTTCTTATTGACATTTCAGTACGTATCATCGTTTTTATAATCATTATTTCATGATTTATTTATTACGGTCTGGTTGACACTATACAGATACAGATACAGATAAGTATTTAAAAGAACACTGCTCTGGCTTAGCTTATGTGATGATCATGAAGTTCCTAGTGAAAAACTAATAGCAATGTTGTCTGTAAGCGATAATATGTATAAAAAAACAGTAGGAAGTTATCATGTTTAATGTCCAATACCTTTTGAACTTGTGCTTTATATGACATTTAATCTAGATATCATATAAATACTGTTAAAAAGCTATCATATGGCATAGAGCTGCAATTTGGGCATTGCAGGGCATTGTTGACTTTCAGCTCCATACTAATATGGGCATTGTCCTTTCTAAGCACCTACGTCGTGGGCGTTTGTTATCGGATGCAAGGGCGGATCCAGGGAGGGGGGTCATGGGGGTCATGACCCCCCTGAGCTAGTTCCAGGACTTGAACTAACTTGGACTAATTGAAGAACATCATGATATATTTATTATATTCTATTGTTATCAAAATTAAATTATAAGTTCTTAACTTGCCCACGACTATGTGACCCCCTCCTGGCACCAAATCTGGATCCGCCCTTGATCGGATGTTCTAGAAAGAATTTGATTTCCGGCACCAAACGAATATCTTATATGGTCATTATGAAGCTATCACTGGTTAAAGCGGGCGATTTTCATTCATTGTACCTAAAAACTATTATTTTGTTTGTTTGTGCGTAATGATTTTTTGTATTAATTTAATATTTTAAAATTTTGTTACGACGTAACAACAGAGGGATCACTGAATCACATGTCCACAAGCAAATAATTGAACAGAAGCATCACTGAATCGCATGTCTCCAAACAAATAATTGAACAGAAGCATCACTGAATCGCATGTCTCCAAACAAATAATTGAACAGAGGGATCACTGAATCGCATGTCCCCATGTCAAATCGTCAAGTTGCGACGTCAAAGTCCTCTAAAACCAAGAATTCCCTTCCATTTCAGTGATAGACATGAACGACCAAAGAAACGCTGATGCTGGTATCGCGTTGATCAGGACCTTCGCTGCCAATATCACGAGGCTGTCCCTCTCGGTACCAGCGCTGCAGCAGGCGATCGTCAGCGGGAAATACGACGCGGTCGTCACAGAGTCCTTCTTCAACGATGCCGAGGCGGGGTTAGTTTTCAAAGGCCAATTCAAGAAGTGGGCTTATTGAAGCTACTCGCGCGCCCTCTGCCGTCCTCCGATGGTATCACGACGGATACTTTCCCGGGACCAACGAGAGCGACTATTCGGGTGATAAAAATCTGCGAATTCTGTTACAATAACTATACAGTAATTCCCTCCTATAGCACGGTAGATTGGTTCCATGTTGTAGGAAACGCGCTGTAGGAGTATTCTCGTATACCGCGTTCGTTAGACCCCATATAGCCCGTTATTAAGATCAATGCCTTTACTATTTAATAAATTAATTTAATTTCATTTTATAACAAACACTATTGACACAATGCGTAGAGGTACGCGTAAATAATTATGAGCTGTACAAATCATTATAAATGTTACAGCACATAAATATAAACGTGTGATATTCCCGCGTTATACGAGAGACTGAAATCGTGTAATATGAAAATGCGTTATAAGAGTACCTACCGTGTTATAAGGGAGACTATGTATTGCTACGCGCTGGGGTTCGGCATAAATAAAAATTCTACCGAAGTACAAATTACAACTGCATTAACACTTAGAACACTTAACGAGCACTTTATGGTAGGCAGCGGCTTGGCTCTGTCCCTGGCATTGCTGACGTCCATGAGCGACGGTGACCACTTACCTTTAGGTGGGCCGTATGCTCGTTTGCCTACAAATACGACATCCCTAGATTTATCGAGTACATTCTGGGCTAGTCGAGTAGCTTCGATGTGTGTTTCCGCTATCTGATAATAGATGGCATTGTACTTCTCGATTTTTTTTAAATTTAAAAACTAAACCGTACTAAAAATTGATTCTGTCTATTTTTTGTGTACCCTATCGATACCGGTCGGGATATTAGACCGAAGTTACAAAATGATTGTGACGTCATCAATCCTTGACGCGCGTGCATATTGTCAAACTGATCGGACGTCTTGAAATCCAACATACCGAGCTAAGAAAAGCGGGTTAAAAGTTGACCTTTTCATAGTTACGGAGCAGTACTTCAAGTGCCCTGGATCCTGTTGTCCAGCGTCTCCATAATGCCTCACTTGGAAGCCATCATCGATGAGGTGCGGTCGATCACCACCATACCGCTGCTGTTCAACAACGCCCCAACCCCCATGGGCTTCTGGGACAGGCTGACAAATATCTTCATCTACAGCGCCATGACGATATCTAATTTGTAAGTATCGGTACAGGAAAATTCATAGAGTAAACAGTTCTAAAAGAAAAAAACGCATTACAAAACTTTCTTAGTTTAAATGTTAAGTATGGCAATTGACTTCTTGTGTGTACCTGACATTTTAAACTATATTTTCATTGCTTAGATGTGGGGACGAGCTCATGGCCCCCTGGTGTTAAATGCTGAGCCCATGGACATCAACAACGTAAATGCCGCCACCCATCTTAAGACTCGATTTCCAAGTCTCAGTTCTATGGCACAACGATTGCCCCACCCTTCAAAACGAAACGTATTACTGCTTTGCGATAGAAGTATACAGGGTGATAGTACCTGCTCGTGTGGTCCTGCAAATAAAACTGCAAGCATGCATACGTAATTGCCCTACAGGCTAGAGCGCCCAAACACGGTGGCATTCTACGAATCCCTGTTCGCGCCGCTGGCCGCCGCCCGGGGGATCGCGCTGCCCCCCTTCGAGGAAGCCCTGTACAACGTATCGGTGCTACTTGTGAACTCCCACCCGGCGTTCGCTCCGCCCATGAGCTTGCCCCCGAACGTTGTCGAGATCGGGGGCTACCACATCAACCCAGAAACACCCCCCTTGCCGAAGGTAAGCCATTACTTTGAAAACGTGAACTCTGATGGCCCCCAAATGCGATACTCGAGACGCGGCTTATAGGCATCACAAATGGCCATTCAAGTCGGAATGCATGTCTACCTCGCGGCTGAAATCAGCAGGATTGTGGTGACTATGTTTTACTACTTTTTATGCAAATAAAAAGCATATTATGCATAGTAAGCTCCAGATTGCTTTCACAAATATAGGACAGTGGTTCAGGAAGTGGCGCATTGACATCGACCCTATGAAAAACAGAGCCACGATCTTCCAAGGGAATCGGCCTCCCAACACTACAGCTAGTATCTCGCGTGGTAATTCTGTTCCCGCCATTAAAATCTTTGGACTTCATTACTGCGAACAAAATATTAATAGACGAGCAGTTTGGGTTCTGCGCCAAACACTCGTGCATACATCAAGTGCACCGCTTCACGGAGCACACCTTAATAGGGTTGAATAATGGGCGTAAACAAATCCCGACCGGCGCCCTCTTCTTCGATATCGCGAAGGCGTTCGACAAAGTCTGGCACTGGCACAACGGTTTGATTTACAAACTGTACAACATGGGAGTGCCAGACAGACTCGTGCTCATCAAATGAGACTTCTTGTTGAATCGTTCGTTTCGATATCGAGTAGAGGGAACTCGCTCTCGCCCCCGTCATCTGACTGCCGGAGTCCCGCAAGGCTCCGGGTTCTTTCCGTTATTATTTAGTTTGTATATCAATGATATACTCCGGTCTCCGGAGACCCATCTAGCGCTCTTCGCCGATGACACGTGTATCTACTACTCGTGTAGGAAGAAGTCGCTTTTGCATCGGCGACTCCAGATCGCAGTAACCACCATGGGAAAGTGATTCCGGAAGTGGCGCATTGACATCAACCCCACGAAAACCAGAGCGGTGCTCGGTACTCTTCAAAAGGGGTTGCCTTTCGAATACCACTTCGAGCATCCCACTCCCTAATAGGCGCGTTAACACCCCCGCCGTTAGCCCCGTCACTCTCTTTGGCCAGCCTACACCATGGGCTTCGAAGGCTAAGTACTTAGGCGTCACTCTCGGCAGAGGGATGACATTCGCGCCCCACATTAAGTCAGTGCGCGACTGAGTCGCCTTCTTACTCGGTTGACTCTATGCCATGATCTGTAAGCGAAGTAAATTGTCCCTTCGTAACAAAGTGACGCTCTACAAAATCTGCATACGCTCCGTCATTACCTATGCAAATGTAGTATTCGCTCACGCGGTCCTACACACATTAACTCTCTCCAGGTCATCCAATCCGGTTTCTACAGGATATCCGTCGGAGCACCGTGGTATGTGAGGAATGTAGATCTTCACGACGTCCTAAATCTAGTATCGATATGTAAGTACTTTAAGGAAGGGTCAAAATGCTACTTCACCAAAGCGGCGTGACAGGAAAACTCCCTTACCCTGGCCTAGAGACCTTATTATAACCTATTTCTTTAATAAAATTGATTCTTGTGGGTACAGCGGTCGTATTATCTTAAAAGTTGTGTCGTATAACGTCTCCTATATTATCAGGACCTGCAGCACATCCTGGACTCGTCGCCACAGGGCGTGGTGTACTTCAGCATGGGCTCAGTGCTCAAGTCGTCCAGACTGTCCGAACGAACTAGACGAGAGATATTGGAAGTGTTCGGGTCATTGTCGCAGACGGTGCTGTGGAAATTCGAGGAGGAGCTCAAGGATCTACCGAAGAACGTTATCGTTCGACCATGGATGCCACAGTCCAGCATCTTGGGTAAGACCCGAACTACCCGATTTTATACATTTAGGTCTTAACTCTAGATACCATTTTATGCAGACTGCCACCGAATGAAACACACTACTAATTTGGTTCCTCATTTAGCCTTTCTCTACTGATATGGTCATTTCTGTGATAAATAACGTATATATGATATATGACCTTATGATATATGACCTGTATGGGCAGCGACTTGTTCCTATTTCAACAAAAACAAAAAAGAGAATTACTAGATTAGCGTTTTCTTTATTGCGCAGTCTACCTGGTGTTTAGTTGTTTGCGGAGTCCATGGACATCATAATGTAAATCGCCCATCAAGAAACTTGAGCTATGAGTCTCAATTGTTATGACGGAGAATTCTTTCAAACAATTCATTTTATTGAATTTCAATTGTACATCAATAACAATAAAAAGGTCTAACTCGCTCAGCCGCTTGGCCGACAGATTTGAAGTTGCAAGACCTGGCGATACTGGTGGTAGGACGTCTTGTGAGTCCGCACGGGTAGGTACCACCACCCCGCCTTGTTCACCAACTAACATTAATACATACACCAATTAATCAAGCATTACCCCGATTTTGGAGGTCGCCACAGTCCTATACTAAGACCTTAGGACTCATATCTCAAGGTGGGTGGTGGCATTTACATATTAGATGTCTATGGGCTCCGGTAACCACTTAACACCAGGGGGCTGTGAGCTCGTCCACCCATCTATACAATAAAAAAAAACATAAAAAAAACATCAACTGACCAGTCGCTTCCCGTCCAGAGCCAGGAAGTGGGGAAGATATGTTCAGTTAGCATTACCCCTCTTTTCGCCATAGCTCATCCGAACGTGAAGGTCTTCATCACGCACGGCGGCTTGCTCAGCACCCTCGAGACCTTGCATTACGGGGTACCGATCCTCGCTGTGCCGGTGTTCGGGGACCAGCCCTCGAACGCAGACAGGGCTGTACGTCATGGATTTGCGAAAAGCATACAGTACAAGCCTGATATGGCTAATGACATGAAGGTGGCTCTGAATGAAATGCTGAGCAATGATAGGTGAGTAGTTTATTTCTGCAGTCATCATCATCAGCCAACAGTCGTCCACTGCTGGACATAGCTCTCTCCTATTCTACACGACTAAGCCCGTTCTTCGGTTCTCCTCATCCACCTCTTACCGGCCACCGTTCAGATATCTTCGCACCATCTAGCCAGGGAGCGTTCCACTTCACGTTTTCCGCTATGCGGTCTCCACTAGAGACCCGGTCTACTCCAGCGATCGCCCGCGTGAGCGAATATTACACTTGCATATGTCATGAGTTTCTGTCGTTGATTTTAAGCGACTGCTCGCTCTAGTTATCAGAAATCACGGCTCAGAACCTTATTGCATTGGTATTACGGCGCATCCTTCAAAACAGACTTGTGGCGGCTTGAGATTTGCAGGTGAACTATTCGAAGATCCAAGTCGCTAGGGTCAAAAAGTTCTAGAAAAACGATCGCGTACGGGAACACGCAGTGAAGTCTGCCGGATTCAGGCGCCGGTCGTTGGAGCTCTTGGGTAGGGATTATGTTTAGCAGTGGACGTCTGTGGGCTGATGGATGGATGGATGGCAATACCTAAATTATCCAGTATCCATTATCCCCCTTTTGGGTCAACAAAAAGGGTTTGGGTTCGAAATAGGGGTATTTATATAAATAAGTAAATAACTAGAAACAAATCACGCACGGTCATCCGGCCTTAAAATAAGATTCCCTGTGCGATGGGTACCAGAGACTGACATACATACTTATATACGTTTAAATATATACGTATATAGATAATAAACACATCCAGACAAAGAACATACAAATCTGCTCGTCACATGAATGTCAATCTATAGTTATCTATTGCCTGTTTGTATTATCAGTTACTACACGCGTGCGAGATATCTGTCGAAGATCTTCAGCGATAAGGTGGTGCCGCCGGCCAAGCTGATATCGCATTACGTGAAGGTCGCCATCGAAACTAATGGTGAGTAATATTGTGACGTCATTTGTTGGCTCGATGAGACGTTTACCTTTTGCCTCAATTTTCGAGCTATGTTTAAAAAAAATCCTCAGCAAAATGACATTTAAAAGACTTTAGCGGGAACGCGAGGAGCGAAGTTGTGTGAATTGTTTCATTTTGTTTAATTACTGTGTCTTCAGGTTTAAATGTGTAATAACGGTGGTTTATTACCTGACTGTTTAGTATCTGTAAAAGTGCACAAATGTAGGGGAATGAAACAATGCCGCCGGCCGTAACTTCTCGAGATCTTCGAAAAAGTTCCCTAAAAAAGTCTCAGTAAATAATCACCATTTTACTGAGATTATATTTCAACTGTTTCATTTAGTTTCATGCTTCATTTTAATTCGCTTCATAGAATTTTTCATAAAAAATAATAATAAGTAGGTTGGTTCACAACATTTTTTTATATAGTTTATTTACATTTAACTAAAGTATGTAGGTACCATTTTGTTCGATAACTTTTTGCGATCTTGTAGGTAGGGACATGATCCCATTGCTATAGAAATTTTGGGGCTTCTGATCAAAATAACGCGGCAATTGGTTTTGGCAGTCCTCTCGTGATGTTAACCTGACACTGTCTAAAGAATTCTGAACAGACCGAAACAGGTGGAAATCTGAAGGTGCAAGGTTAGAACTATACGGCGAATGCATTAACCCCTCCCAGCCAAGCTCTCTTAATTTTTGCTGAGGGGCTAAAGATGTGTGAGGTCTAGCGTTATCATGATGAAAAACCACAACCCCTCTGGTGATTAATTCCGGCCGCTTTCTCTCAACTTCTTGCTTTAATCTTATCAGTTGTTCGCAGTAGAGTTCAGAATCGATCGTTCTGTCTGGCGGTAACAGCTCATAATGAATAATGCCCTTCCAATTCCACCACAGCATCACCTTGTTGCGAGTTAACCCGGGTTTCGCCACAGTCTGTGAAGCCTGACCGGCCGTTGACCACGACCTTTTTCGCACGGTCTTATCTTACATGATCTGCTTTTCATCACCAGTTATCAGCTTCTTCAAAAATGCTTCGGTTTCATTACGTCGTAATAAATTATCACAAATTAGTACACGGTTCATTAGGTTTATTTCAGTAAGCGCGTGAGGTACCCAAATATCGAGCTTTTTTGTGTACCTACCCAGTTTTTTCAAATGCGCCAAAATTGTTTTGTGGTCAATTCCCAGTTCTTCAGCTACGTCGTAACTACTGATATACCGATCTTGCTCCACTTTTTAAAAAAAATCCAACCATCCATTTTATCCGTAATAGGGCGACCAGAGCGACGTGCATCATTGACCATAAAATTTTCCTGATTGAAAATGCTTAAACCAAATTTGTGCTACTCTCACAGACACTGCACTAAGTCCATAAGCATCGCAAGTTTGTAGTAAAATTTATTCTCGCTCACGACTCGGTCGTGCGCGGACGTGCTTTCCGATCCGTGGCCCGCTTGCGAGCTACGTCTCTGAATTCACAGTTGTGCTCGACAGTTTAGTGACCGTGAATACATTCTCGTTTACGACTCGGTTGTGTGTGAACGTGCCTTCCAATCCGTTGGTCGCTTGCGACCTACGCATCGGAATACACATTTGTGCGTGATAGTGTTGTGACCGTGAATACCCACCTCATACCAACTGTCTTTTTCAAGGCAACCAATCGCTACGATCAGGCTTCCTGTGGCACTCACAGGCTAGCGATTTCCTAACCCTTCCCAAAACAACAGTCTTTTTCAAGACTAGACCCCCGCTCGCGATTCTGCCTGCTGTAGCACTATACAGCCCGAGCGGGTTCCTTTCCTTTTCCCCGCCGATTGCCGTTTTCACGGCATAGGCATTCCCCCCCCCTGCTCCTTGCTGTCCTGCAGCACAGGGGGGTTACAAATCCTATCCGGGGCCTCGCCTTTCGGCGAGTTCAACAAAAGTCCCGGGGCCGCCCCCCCCGGGCAAGAAGACCGAAGA